CAATCTTAGGAGCGCATTGTATGATAACATTAGGGTTGATTAGTTTCCCTTTAGAGTTCGTGTCTTCTCTTCTCATCTCAAAACTTATTCAAAACATCTAATAAAGGATAATAAGTGTTGTACGCTACGAGCCTTAAGTACTTGGGGAATGATAGTTGGGGGGCTTCCTCTCAACTGTCTAGAGTGTTTAGCATATGCCCTTTAGGCGATATGTGACGCATTCTCTCTCAAGTCATAGTCTTTAGTGCAACATGAGTTACAAACTTAACTCAATTCACTTCTTCTTTAGAAAACACAAAACAAAACATCAAACCTTTTTATCCTTCGGGATTAATTGAAAACCATTTTCAGAAAGAGTGTGTTAAATCTTGGTTCTACCGCAAACAGGTAATGCCTAAGTCTCCAATGGTCGAGCAACAATACACCTAACTGCTAGAATGAAGGTTTAACCCTACTCAGTTAAAACACTTGAACCAATATGTGGTCGTGTCAACCCGAACTACGTTTGCTCTGATTTCTCGTGCCAGAAGAGGATACGTAGGCACAAGACGGCGATGTCTTGGTGAGCAACCTTTCCCCCTTCACCCGTAGTCTTTCGAACTACGTTGACTCTGACTTTCCCATTGCACGAGGGAGTACGTAGGCATAGAGCGACGATGCTCTATTGAGTCTCTTTTCTTTTCTTTTGTCCCTGTGGCCAGCCTTATAGATTAACACCCTTTTAGATAGATAACAAGTGTGGATCCCGTTGAGTACAACGAACGTGTGGGGTGCTCATACCTTCCCCTTGCGTAACCGACTCCCGAACCCAAGACTTGGTTGAGATGACCTGTCTTTTCCCTTTTTTGTAGGTTTTCTCTGATCGTTTCCTTTCCCTCTCTTTTGGATAAATAACGAGTGGTGACGACTCTTCTCTCCTTGTCGGCCCCTCTTCGCAGCGATGCAACAATAAGATCACATTCATGTGCCTGTTCGACACTCTTGCTTATCGAAGATTCTTCTTTGATCCTGGAATAAAAGGTGAAGGCACTAATAAATATTTCAAGGTCAATGTATGCTACCCAAAGTTACTTTATGACATCCCCACTTTGGAAGAGGAGTCTGTAGAAGATCTTTCTTTTGGGAAAGGCTGCTGATGTGATTACCTATGCACCTTGACTACTCGGGTGTGTTCTTTCCTTTCTCTCACTCTTATTTAATAGTTATGTTCTTTCATTGAGGATAATGCATGTTTTAAGTGTAGGGGGAGAGAAACATTTCTTTATTTTGTTTTATTTGCTTTGTTTTGGTTTTGTTCTTAATAAAAAAATAATCTTTTTTTTACTTAGAAGCACAATGCATCTTTTGAAATTTTTAGGCCATAGACTGATTTGAGTTTAGATTATGGAGACTTGGAAAAAATTCATAAGATCGGTACCGTTTTAACACCTTAAGTCTCCTGAATATGGGAACCGTTTTAAATACTTGTTATGTCATAGCCTTGAGCTTTCATCCTTTAATAGCTCCTAAGTAGTTTATCTAGCAGTCAGTACCATCTAAAAATCACACACTAAGTAATTAAGCTGATGCAAATAAGTGAATGATCATGTGCTTAATAATAAATCTAAATAGAAATCTGCATTTTAAGTTAGGTGAGCCTCACCCGGTCGCTTAGACTAACGGTTGTGAAACCTTCACAAAACAAAAAAATGGTTAATTTTGAATTATCGAAAAGATATAGATCATAGTCACTAACAAGCTTATTTAACACGTGTGTGAATAGATAATAGGCTTAATGTGATTGCATTAGAATGAAAGAGAGCAAAAAGGAGGATGAGTAAGTTAGGCTTAAGCATAATAACATGATTCAAATTGGTTTGTATAGGAGGGAGGTTTATGACCGCACAATTGTGGATTTTTGTTCTTACAATATTCTTAGTATGCAAAATTAGTACCTATTGATGCTATCTTGACCGAAGAAGAGTTTGTAGCCTAGAATGAGTATCTGAATGCTATTGTTTTTCATGAGTCTCGATACTATTTTGCTCGGAGTGCAAAAGTTCAAGTGTGGGGGAATTTAACTAGTGCATCTTAACGCACATTCTCTTATATTTTTACTTAGGCATTTCCTTAGTTTGTTTTGTTTATTTTACTGTTTTATTATGTTTTTAGAATTAAGTCTTTGTTTTTCTTTAATCTATTTCCGCATCTTATTTTCAGCTTTAGCGGTTATTTGATATTTGTCTGCTGTTTGGATCATAACTAGAGCTATAATAATCAGATTTACATGTTCTAGTAGGCGTTGGAAAGCTAAGACAGAGAGCTATAACTTTCATGTTTCTGGAAGAAGCTGATTCAGAGTGTAGAAGGATCAAATAATTCGTTGAACTAAGGACCCGAAATCTGTCATTAGAAATATTTAGTTTTGGGCCGGGTTTTTTATGTTTTTCGACCCAGTTGGGTTATAACTGGATTTTGTGATGCTTCCCTATACCTAGTAGAAGTCGTGCTAATGTTTATTACCTTCTTTTCACAATTTTAATTTTCTTTTTGCAATTGTAATAGAGAACTAATTCTCACAGGAAAATCCTGTTGTGTACAGTTCCATCGCTTTGAGGTTATTCTAATACCAATTTAAATCAGATTTCTTTCAATCATTTTCTATGAAGTCATTTTCTTAACTTGATTGCAATTGTTTGCTTAATTCAATTGCTATTCATAGGATAAAATTGATTAAATTTGATAGTATGCATGCTTCTAAATTTATTTGCGTGTTATCGTTTGTTTAATTGGTTAACTCGTCATATTCTTAACCGTTTGCTTAATTCGGAAAACAGGAACATAATTCATTTGATTTTGATAAGCGCTTGTCTAATTGGTCTCATAATTGAATACCCAAATTTTACCCTTTAGATTCTTTGATCTTTTGCATATCATTCTAGGTCTGTCATTTTGCATAACTAACCAGGTTTCCAGACTCTTTGTTTGCTTTATTTCTTTTGTGAATCAGGGTTTGATTTCAGGAGCTTCAAATGTAGGAATTAGGATTTTGGACAAGAGTTTGTCTGATGAGATGGATATCCTCTGGTTAGAAATTATTTCTTCCAATTATTATACTCAAGTTCAAGGCAGAAGTGTGGGGTTTCCAATTGTCATGAGCAGTGCCTATCAGAGGTTTATCAAGGCACGAATTTAATTATATGAATACCCACAAGGGTGTAGTTTGTTTAGGTTTCATCAGTGGTTTTGACCGGTTTGATCCTGAATCAGAATTTTGGAATATTAGGGTTTCTCACGCATGGTGTCTATGATCGACAAGTGACGTTCAGTTGAGTCTTTTGAGGCTAGCAGGTTATGTATGTATGCACAGTCTTATGTCATTTGGATGTGATCTTTTAGGGCTAGCAGTTGAGTTGCGTGCAGGTACTGGTTGTGTGGTTCAGGTTTTTGTCATTGATTCCAAGAGTTCTAACTAGTTATTCGGTCCATATCCATTCTTTCTAAATTCATATTTGTTATCCATTTTCCCTTTTCAAATATCTAGTTCAATTATCTATTTTTCATTTTATCCAAATTTCTCTTTCAATCCACTTCTTTCAATTCTTTCATATCCATTTTTTATTTTAGAACCAACTAACCCTTTAACTTTCTTTTTTAAAGGTCATTAATCTTTAAATCCATTTTTCAAACCACTTATCCAGTTTAATTAGATATCCATTTTCTTTCTAACCATTTTCATAAATTATTCATAATTTTCAATCCATATTTTATTCAAGTCCATAAACCCATTCACTATTACAACCATTGCCAAAAATCACTACAACAAAATGCCTTGCTTTTAAAATTCACCAAATAACATGTGGAAGCCTATTTACACAATAAGAGTCATTGTCCATTACATTACAAACTATCAAAAGTTGTACAAAAATAGAAACAATCCATATATAAAATTTAAAAACTTAGTCCATATCCAACAAAAAAATCCCATTTATATTAATTCATTACAAAAAATAGTAACTAAAGAAAAAGAGAGTTACTAGCGCTGGACAGAAAATTAGAGAACCGGTCCAATCCGACCAGTCCGTATGGCCCATGAAGAAGCGGTTCAGTTGGTTCGGTTTTTCGGTTTACCGGTTTGAAAAATGTTGGATTCACATGGTTTCGGTTGGTCGGTTTCGGTTGGTTATTTTCAATCCAGTGAAATCCAAAACTGACCGCTACTATTCCCAATTCAAAATTTCTCTACTCGTGTGTGTCTACTGTCTAGGGTTTCACTTTCACTTTCACCCTCTACAACAGAACAACATCGTGTGTGTCTAGGGTTTCACTTTCACTTTCATCCTCTACAATAGAACAACAACAACAACAGAGCGCGGATCAAGCCTAAAAGTCTCTCAACCTCAAGCTAACACCATCACCACCACGGAACACTTCACCGCCAACACCGACCTGTCATGTAAATGTTTATGCACTCATCTTTGTTATCTTTCTCTTTCACTCCATTTCTCAATCTCTCAATCTATATTTTTTATTTATTCAAAAATGTTGTTGTTCATGCCATTTTTCCTTATTGTTTAATTTGTTTTGATTATTGGGAGATGGAACATGGAAAAGGGAACTTGCAAGGAACTGAAGAAGGAAGTTTGCAAGGAGCTGAAGAAGGGAGCTTGCAAGGTGCTGAAAATGCTAGTTTGCAAGGGTTGAGTCAAGGTATGTGTTTGTGTTTAAAAGTGTTACCTTGTTTAGTATGTCAAAATATAGGATTGATTCTTTTAGTTTACCCAAATATTTTCAGTGCTGGAACATCCTGTTTCCCATGCTGAACCTACACAAGTAGAATCTGCACTTCCTCACGTTCCCCCTGATAGGAAAAAAGACAAGTTAATGCTAGTGGAACTAGGAAAACTTCCTCTGTTTGGTTAGACTTTAACATTTTACCTGATGAACCTGAACCAATAGCTGCGTGTAAACATTGTCACAAAAGATACCGATGCGACCCTAAAACACATGGAACATCCAACATGTTAGCTCACTCAAAAGTGTGTCACAAAAACCCTAACCTTTTACAGAAATATCCCACACAAAGAAACCTTGTAAGTGGTGATGCTGGTTTTTTAGGTTCAACAAGCCAAAGGTTCAATTCTCAAGCATGTAGGAAGGCTATTACTTCCTTTTTTATTCTTGATGAGCATTCCTTTAGAGTGGTAGAGGGTGAGGGTTTTAAGAAACTATGCAAACAACTACAACCACAAATTACTATCCCTTCAAGGAGGACTGTTGCTAGGGATTGTTTTCAACTTTACCTAGCCGAAAAGTTAAAACTTAAAGCCATTTTTAAATCTGATTGTGCTAGGGTTGCACTAACCACAGATTGTTGGACTTCAATTCAAAATCTTAGTTACATGGCCATAACTGCACACTTCATTGACAATGCATGGATCTATCATAAAAAGATTATTAGTTTTAGTTTAGTTCCAAATCACAAGGGTGATACCAATGGTAAAAAAGTGGAAGATGTTTTGAAGGAATGGGGGCTTAGGAAAGTGTCAACAATTACCCTTTACAACGCAACATGTAACGATGTAGCTGTTTCTTACTTGGGAAAAAGACTTAAGAGCAAGAATTCTTTAATTGGTGTCGGGAGTTTTTTGCATATGAGGTGTGTTGCCCATATCTTAAACTTGGTTGTGAGAGATGGACAAAAAGATCATGAGTTGTCTATTGAAAGTGTTCGCGATGTTGTTAGGGTTGTGAGGTCCTCACCACAAAGAGCTTTGAAGTTTAATGAATGTATAGAAATTGTAGGGATAACATGTAAAAGAAAACTTGGCCTTGATGTTTCCACACGATGGAATTCCACTTACTTGATGTTGGATGCTACTGAGAAGTTCCAAACAGCATTTGATGTTGGAAGCTGCATGGAGTTTTTTGAACATTCCGGTCCACCTTGTTCTACTGATTGGGAAAAAGTTAGGGCTTTTGTGATTTTTTTGAAAACATTCTATGAAGCAACCAAATTGTTTTCATCTTCGCAAGAAGTATCGTTACATTTAGCCTTTCATAACTTGTCTGATATTTTGTGTAAGCTTCAAGAAGCATCCTTGAACATGAATTACTCCATCACTCTTCTCTGATTTCCTCGGGTGGCGTATTGGTGAGTTGTTCATTGCCGCTTCTCTTACCCATGATAGGTAAGATTCTGAAACAGTAGTGTTGTGGGGGCCTAGGGCAGTTACTCCCCTTGTGTGGACATAACGCCAAGCATGCGCAATTCGAGCCCTATAAGCGGGATTCTTCCTTTCCTCCAAGTAAAATTTTCTCAAAAAGTTTGGATCTGGTTCATCTTCCATGGGGTGCCCCAACTGTCGACGAGCCAGAATAGGATTATAGCTGATGCAACCATTGACGCTGATGAGCGGTATATTCGGGAAATCTCCACAGCTTTGGATCATGGCAATTCCTCCATACATAGGATCATACCATTTAATGTCTGAGTGTTTGAGCAATAGCAGCTTTTCTGTCCATGAGAGTCCATTTTGCTTATCCCAGATGGCTGGAATTTCTGACAAGTGCGAAATAAACCAATTGTGCAGGAGAACGGTGCAACATTCAATACGTCCAACCCCATAACGGTTCCTTCGGTGGAGGGTAAAGTAAGTGTCAGCCAGCAAGGTAGGTACAGGATTTTTGATCAAGAAAAGATTGATCGCATCTGCGTCCACAAAATCACTAGCAGTTGGGAACAAGAACAGTCCGTAAATAAGTAAAACTAGGATGGCCTCAAATGCTTCAGTATTTTGTGACAAGGCATAGCTCTGAGCTTTTTCATATAGGAACATAGCTGAAAATCCATACAATCCTCCCTTAGCACCCATATGAGATCGCACTTCGTCCAACTCCAAATACGCGGCCTCTGCAATTGCTCTTTCATTAGGAGTCCCTTCCCTTCCAGAAAATGGACTAGGAGTAACGCCTACTCCCATTAGGGCGGGATACTCTTCCAAAGTTGGTAGCAACTGATAATCTGGAAACGTGAAACAGTGATAGGTTGAATCATAGAATTGCACGAGTGCGGATAACATCTCTTCATACACTTGAACTTCCAGCAATGACAACATGTTCCCATGTCTTTCTCTGAATGCCTCGGGGTCTTCTACTAAACTTACCAGTTTCTTCAAGTTCTCCAATCTCGGTCTTCGGAACACAACCTTTTCTTTCTTTCCAGAATCCATCCTATAATATCTGCAAAACAATCTTTAGTTCCTTGAATGTTTAAATAACAAGAATGCAAATGTAAATGCAAAAGTTTTATGGAACTCAAATTTACCAAAATATCCTTTCATTTCATTGATTTTTCAAAAGGGTATTACAAAAGATTTTAGTACATCTTACAAAAGCCCTAACATTACAACTCAATATGCTCTAAAAGAAAGTCCTCTCTCTTCTTGATTCTTCTGAGCTCTTCTTCCACCTGTGCTTTCTCAAGGATGAGTTTGTCTACCATAGCTTTCCAAGGAGTTGATTGATGGTTGGAATAAAATGCATCTTCCTGTGCCTTCCTCTTCTTGCTTGCAACTGCTTCCTCTTCTTTCGACTGAAGTTGTTTGTGGAGTTCCTCGTTCTCTTGCATAGCCACCTGATATTTGTACTTCCAGGATACCTCAGTCTGCTGTGACTTCCTCAGAGCAATCTTCAGCTTCTCTTCCTCAGACATGAAAATCAACGGTTGTTCTTCTATTAAGACCATAGGCTTTTGTGGAGGATAAGGCATTTTCAACTGAATGGCCCTCTTTCGGACCCATTGGAGATAAGGTTCAAAAGAGATGCAGTTAGGTCTTCCCAAGTCCTCTTTTCCTTTCCTGTGTATATGCCCCCATGCTTTGAGAATTTCATCTTTTAATTCCGAAACTCCTATGAAGAAAATACCTTCTACGTGAGCACTGCAAGGTTTGTCTTTCCGTGGATAACCAAATTGTCGACGAGCAATCACAGGGTTATAGTTGATTCCCCCATTCGTACCAAGGAGAGGTATATTCCCGAAGCTTCTACAACTATCAATGATTTTGATTCCATCGTAACTACGGCTGTACCAGTCAATATCGGAGTGAGTAAGAGCCATAATATTTTCAGACCACCATCCTTTTCTCCAAAAAGTATGGGCTTTGGGTAGATGAGAAACAAACCATTTATACAACAACGGAACACAACAGACGATCATCCCTCCTTTGTGAAGATTTCTTAGATGAACAGAGTGGTAAGCATCAGCTAGTAGAGTAGGTACTGGATTCCTCTTCAAGAATATTTTGATGGCATTGAGATCCACAAAGTTGTCAAAGCTCAGAAACAGAAAGATCCCATAAATAAGCAAGGCTATAATAGCCTCAAAATCATCCATACTCAAGTGATCGGCATAATACTGAGCTTTCCCAATCAAGAATTTTGCAGTCAGCCCAACGATCCCTCCTTTAGTAACCATGTTCTTCTGAATGTCTACCAACCCGATACGTGCGGATTTAGCAATCTCTTCCTCTTTAGGGTCCTTCTCCATGACGGGAAAAGGAGATGCATCAAGGATGGGTAACCCAATCAGACAGGAATACTCTTCAAGTGTCGGCACTAACTGATAGTCAGGAAATGTGAAGCAGTGATAAAGTGGGTCATAGAACTGGAGTAATGTGGAAAGGAGTCCCAGATCTATTCTTTTCTTCATTCTCAGTAGAGACAACAAATTCCCGTACCTACTCTTGAACCCTTCTACATCTGTGATCAGAGTGCTCAACCTTTCAATCTCATCTACATTAGGTCTTTTGTAAGTGTACTTTATAGTTTTCTTTTTTCCATTGTCCATGATGTTCCTGATATTTTATAAATAAAAGACTCTGAGTTCCATAAAACTTTTATGACATGATGTTTATGGATGCATGAATGCACAAACACAGGTAATCACATATTCACAGATTCACATAAGTAAAAAGACAAGGTTTTGGGTTTGGATAATGAAAGAGGAGTCGAGGTCTACCCATCCCAAAAGGTATGTATTAGGGCTTTTCTTTGCTGTAGAACAAGGTTCTAAAAGAGTTCCCAGAGTCCTCGATCCATCTTTCGGATATTATCAATTTCCCGAATACTCAGTAGTCGATAATATTCTCAAGAGAATCTCGTCCGAGTGTAGTATCGCGTATCAACTATTTTGGAATTACTCCCTCATAGTCATCACACTACATCCTAATAAGGCCAAAGTGGGGAAAAAGGTATCTAAAGGTCCTCAGTGTCATGGGCACCTATGTAGAAAGTAGCATTGTTTTCACGAATACTCGATCAACAATACTAACTCTCAAAAGGGCCTCCACTGAGCGGTGATTTTCTCAAGTCAGCTTGGTCGGGAATCTATTCCCTATAAGCCTTCTTGAATATATCACCTTCCTATCATAAGTACGCTTGAGCACGGGTGTAGTGCTGTCTTACCACTTCAAGTTCCCCAAGCCAACAGTGCACAAATATATATACAAGTATTCACAAATAGCAATTAGTCAAACAAAATAGGTTGAACCCTCAAAATAAAAGCAAGTAAGCAATTTCCCCAGTGAAGTCGCCATTTCTGTTGCGGTGAAAATTGGATATCAAGCTATTGATTAACTTGAACCTTATTTCTTTTACAACCGATCTTTAATTTATCCAAAGGAAAGGTCTCAAGAAAGAAAAACCTTTTTCGCGATGTAAACAACGCTAAGAGATTCGGGGATCGGGGGTTGGTTATATCTAGGGAAGGTATTAGCACCCTAAATATCTGTAGTACTCTACAGAAACCTTTTGTTCGATTGCTTGCTAAGTTTGTGAATTCTACTATGGTTTGGGATAAGGTAAAGTAAACAAAGGCCTAAGTGGTTTTCTAAGTTTGCTCGCAAAGACATCGCATCTTCTGCCTACGTATCCTGACTAGGATAGAATCAGAGCAATCGTAGTTCACCTCACGAGGGAAAAGAGCACTTAATGACAATCAAGATTCAAAGGGGGAACAAACATGACTATATTTGTGTGGAGTTTGACAAAACTCCCTAATCTAAATTGTAGAAGGGGAAAGTAAGAGATCATGACGATGACTCATACGCAGAGTTGACGAACTCTTTCCTAGGGTTCTAGTTGAAGAACGCTCCTAGTACGGGTGGGTCTTTTAGACTTTAAGAAAAGCCTAAGGATTCTAATCTAAGGTTGAAAATGACTTAACAAAGTCAAGGGTGTGATTGAATAAGTTATCCATGACATCGAGGGTCAAATGGACAGACCTTCCTTTGGAGGGAGACTGGGGAAATAATCAGGTGAAAGCTAACGAGCTTCATCATTTGGGAGAAAAGAAAATAAATGCTAAACAAGATAAAAATCAAGATAAAGCATATTCATGGTGACAACCAAGTAAACAATGAGAGATGGTAAAAATGAAACATGAAGGTAACAGTTTAACAGATGAAATAATCGATACTACGATGGCAGTTCGCACTTGATGAAAATCAACAGATGAAAATGGTAAAAACCAAGAAATAAATCCTAGCATGTTAACTAACATGTATGAGCATGGATTCAAACAAGTTTCAAGAAAAATATTGAAAGGAAACACATACACATTTATCTGCAATTACATAAACGATCGCGAAAACGCGCACACTTGTACATAAACAAACTGGGTGATAAAAAATTCAAACATGAAAAATAAAGGCATGGCATGAAATTACACATTAATACGAGCACAACGAAAAAAGAACGGACGAAAAATGATGAAAAACGAGTGAGATACGAATTTTTGAAATTTACATGAAAAATCACAAAAATGGATAAAAGAGTTGCCCTCCTCAGGGGTCGAACTCAAGAACAAGGGGTGAAAGGCGCATGGTCATACCACTGGGGTGGCTATACATCCATTGATGAAGCCACCCCTAATTAATTATAAGGGCAAAATGTGCACCAGGCTGGGCAAAAAAACACATAACTGGCATTTACGTTTTATATCGTATCTCCCTAACCGTTTATCGAAACGAAACAAATTTTATATGGATTTGGGGTAGAATTGAACAAGGAACATGATGGTGGTGGTCATTTTTGAAAATTCTCACTGTGGTGCAAAACCCGATAGCAGATGTTC